TCTACATTAAGGTCCAAAGGGTCCAAAATTAAACTTAGTTTGATTTTAACAAAAATTGAATTCTTAGGGTTCTTTGATATGCTGAATCTAAACATGTATTTAGATTTTTGATTATGGGCCCAGTTTTCAAGTTGGTCCAAATCGGGGTCCAAAATCAAACTTTGTTTGATTTCAACAAAAATTGAATATATGGGGTTGTTTGATATGCTGAATCTAACCATGTATTTAGATTTATGATTTTTGGGCCCCGTTATCAACTTTGTCCACATTGAGGTCAAAAGGGTCCAAAATTAAACTTTGTTTGATTTCATCAAAAATTGAATTCTTGGGGTTCTTTGATATGCTGAATCTAACCATGTATTTAGATTTTGGATATTGGACCATAATAGGTGAATGTCCAATTTAAAATTTTTAAGTTCTTAGACCACATTCAATCTGTGTTAGAAACCTATGCTGTGTCAAATATTTAATCACAATCCAAATCCAAAGCTGTATCAAGCTTGAATGTTGTGTCCATACTTGCCCCAACTGTTCAGGGTTCGACCTCTGCGGTCGTATCAAGCTGCGCCCTGCGGAGCATTTTATTTTCTTTAAAATTTTCCATTTTAAATTGGTTAGTTCTTAGACCACATTCATTCTGTGTCAGAAACCTATGCTGTGTCAAATATTTAATCACAATCCAAATTCAGTGCTGTATCAAGCTTGAATGTTGTGTCCATACTTGCCCCAACTGTTCAGGGTTCGACCTCTGCGGTCGTATCAAGCTGCGCCCAGCAGAGCCTTTTATTTGAAATAAAAAAATTATGCAATAATAATCAAAAATATAATCTTCAAAGATCAAGTTTTTTTTCATATTAAGTTAGTAAAATAAATGTAGTGTTCATTTTATTTGTAGGGAGTTAGGTGTGTAAAGGGCCAAAATATTGCTTTTAAAATCCTAGGAGCTTTTTTTTTACTAATGTAAATGTGAAAATCTTTACCTGTATGAACTTCTAAAAAGGTTTTCAAATATAATTTAATTTCACAATAATTTAAAGGTTAATGCAGACTTTAATGAAATATTGAATTAAAAAAAAATTGATTTCAGTGAAAAAACAAGCCAAAAGAATGATTTTATTTCACTCATTTCTTAGGAAAAGTGCTATCAGCATCAAGTCTATTGATAAGATATCTGATCTTCAACCAGACCTACTCAGTCTATGAATGTTAATTTTGATTTGTCAATATACAATGTATTCTGTTTGCATACATTGTGCAGTGTTGTACTGATTAACAGACAAAAAAAGTTGGAAAATGTTAAAATCTTGACAGCAACAATGAACAGCAAACAGACGTCATGTATTATATTGATCTGGATGATGTGCAAGTTTTCAAGGACAGAAATATATAGTACAAAGACATTATGGCATGTATATGCAGTAAATAAGTCAACTATTTACTAATCTAGATACTCAGACATTTCTTAATGCATCCATTTTCCATAATTTAAAGATTTAATTCTAGATAACAAATTTGAAAAATTGTATTTTAATGATGTCAGCTTGAAGCAAAATATAAGACTAAATAAGTAACTGTACAAGACAATTTGGCAAAATGGGCAAGAGATTATCTTTGTTTGACTGATGCCATTTTGGTAAAAGAGGGAATTGTTCAAACTCCACAGTTCCAGACTTGTGTCAGAATCTTTTTTCCGATCTAATTCTGAAACAATTTAAGAAACTTGGGGTACTTTAAATGAACCAAATGCCAGGTCTTAATGAGATGGCTTATTCTTATGGTACAAGTCATGTCACACCAATTTTGATTGGATGATGTCTGCCATCAATTTTAAAAAAATGACAGGGACTGCTAGTTTCTTGCTGAAGGTCAGTGGTTCTCTCCTGCAATAACTAGGCATAAACATGATTAAGCAGTCAACTTCCTTAGTGTTCTTGTGGTAGAATGCATGCCCATCATTGAGCAGTCAACCCCCTTAATGTTCTTGTGGTAGAATGCATGCCCATCATTGAGCAGTCAACCCCCTTAGTGTTCTTGTGGTAGAATGCTTGCCCCTTTTGCTAGAATTTTGGGGTTTGATACAATGAAAAATTTATAATTTGTAATTAATGCCTTTCTACTTAACATTGCATTAATTTGTTTATGTTCCAATTATGCCTGTAAAATTTGCTTTTGGACTTAATGCACTGTACAGTCAGCAATCATTGGACTGTGATAACTGAACAGTCAGCAATCATTGGACTGTGATAAAAACAACTTTTTTGTTAAATAGATAGGTGAAGCTATACATGTATTTAGGTATTGCTGTCATAAATAATACTGTGGAATCATTTATATTTGTGGATACCAATTTTTTGTGGATAGAGGAAAAGTTGTATTTTCGTCGATATTTGATTTCACAGTTTTTATGAATATATAGGAAATTTGTATTTTTGATAAACAACTAAATTTGTTGTTTACCCATACCCATGAAATCCACGAAAACAAGTTCCCCATGAAAACAAGTTCCCCATGAAAACAAGTTCCCTACGAAAACAAGTTCCCCACGAAAACAAGTTCCCAATGAAAACAAGTACATTTGTTCCCCATGAAAACAAGTTCCCCATGATAACAAGTTCCCTATGAAAACAAGTACCCCATGAAAACAAGTTCCCCATGATAACAAGTTCCCCGTTCCCCATGATAACAAGTTCCCCATGAAAACAAGTACCCCATGAAAACAAGTTCCCCATGATAACAAGTTCCCCATGAAAACAAGTTCCCCATGATAACAAGTTCCCCATGAAAACAAGTACCCCATGAAAGCAAGTTCTCCATGAAAACAAGTTCCCCATGATAACAAGTTCCCCATGAAAACAAGTTCCCCATGATAACAAGTTCCCCATGATAACAAGTTCCCCATGAAAACAAGTTCCCCATGATAACAAGTTCCCCATGAAAACAAGTACCCCATGAAAACAATAATTAATCCACAGTATTTTGTAATAAAATAGGGAAAATGATTTACACTCTTAAAGGTTAAAACTACTTAAAATGACTTCTACGTCACTTGGTCTCTGTTGGAGAGTTATCTCATTGGCAATAATACCACATCTTCTTATTTTTATATATAACATAAAATGCCATTGATTGATTGATTGACACAAAAAAAATGATTTTGAAAATCTATAGAAAAAGGTGACAATTACGTCCTTTTAAACATCGTCACCATAACATATTATTGTAAATGATAAACAGGGCTCCATTATCTGTAAATATGGTTAGGTCTATGTACATATATATCTGTTTTATCATTATACTAAGCTTCCTAAAAATTACATAATATTTTAAATACATCTCTTTATAAATTTGGTCTCCTAGTGTGCATTTTTTAATGGATATAAAAGAATTACTTTTCTTGCAGAATTTTTTATTAATTTGAAATGTTACATGGGTAAATGGAACGATTATATTATCGAAGTTATAATTGAAATTGAACAATTTGATTGCAACAGTTGCTATAGATTGGTTTAATGCAGTAAAGGGCCTAATATGTAATGTTATTTATCATATGAGCTAAACATTATGTGGTTTTTGTCCTACTTTGATGATTACACAAAAGTGATACAACATATTTGTCTATCCTGTTGGAAATTATTGTTCAATTTAGTAAGGTTTTTCATAAAAAGAAGGAAGCATTTTCAAAAGGTGTTGCACACGTAAATTGATTGATTTTCATGACAGCTTGCGTAAAAGGATTGAAAGATAGTTTTTTTACATCACTTTTATTCTGGAAACATTATCACTTGTACATACCTACTGTCAAATTGTTATTAGATATTGGTTTTTAGTGATAATGGTTTAATGGTTTACATAAACACTAATCTATATGTTTAAACTACAAACTAAGTTAAACTCAGTTAATATCTAACCAAAGAACTCAAAATGATATAATTGTGAAATTACAAATCCTCATAAAAATAATAATGTTTGCTAACTCTTGTACTTATTACTTAAATGCTAGAGTTCAATAATCAACAATAACGTGTGAAAGGCCTTGTTATAAGACACAACAATATCTGGAGAATTAACATATGAACAAAGAGAAATTGGTTACCATGGTAAAACAGACAGCGAAATCGGAACTATACATTTCATTCTTATAAGTCATGTCTGTTGAAAAGTTGAAAATTAGCCAAATGAACAATTTCTAGATATTTATTTTGGTCTTCCTTTTTCTTTACCTTTTTTTGTTGTCTTGATCAGAAGCCTTATTGTGACATTGATAATAACCATTCAAAAAATAATTTTATTTTTTTGAAAAATTTGACAATGGTAGCGTTCTTTATTCAGGAATGTCCCTGTTGAAATTTTATTGAAAATCACATTTTCAATGTTAAGTTTTTCATTCTGATATCTAACATATATATGTATGCAGATTTTTTGGAAATTGCAATAATTTATCTCTCATTATTGTCAATTATTCAAAATTTGCAATAATAAATGCACGCAATAATTTCTGAATTTACAGTAATTATATGGAAAATTGCATTGTAAGGGTTCTCGCATGTACAATTCTTTCCAGAAAATTAAGATCAAAGGTTTATATCATCGATGACTCGTTCCAAAACCAGTGCCTATACTAATTTAAGAGAGTTATGCCCCTTGAGAATTAATTATATTGAAATTCCATCGTATTAAGCGCTCTCAAGCCTACTTCTCTAAGATTTAAAAAAAAAAGGTTTAAAGAACCTCCCAAAAAAAAAATTATTGACCTTGGATAGATAAAATATGTGCAACACAGGGGACATTGGAACTCAGTTCTTTTATGTATTTTATATTTTTGTTGTCTTTTCCTGGATTAGTTATTTTTAAAAATCCTATTGACTCATGTAGCATTTGTTGTCTATGACACCTTTTTACTTGCCATGATGATTGTAATTGCCAATATGAAAATGAATTTCAGACCTTTGACATTTTCAGTTCTTGTTTAATTATAATTAATTTATTGATTATTATTTCAGAATGTGAACAATTAATTAAACAGATGTTAACAGTAGATCCTAACAAAAGAATAACAATGGAGCAAATTATTAAACATAAATGGACGATACTCGCTGGTGAAGATATAGACTTTGATGCTTTAATATTAGAAAATAATCGTCCATCAGATGTAGATCCTGACTTAGAAAATCTTAATGAACATATCATAGCTCATATGGAAAGTATAGATCTAAATAGAGAACAAATTTTTAAGGTAATAAAACACATTGTGTCTGTCCAAGTACAGTGCATGGGAATAAGTATTTGTCACCTACAATTGTTTCCCTTTATATTTTTTATTTTATACTTAGTAGTAAATACAGATAAATTGCATGTGTAATACAGTCAACGGCAATCGTGCTGTATCAGCTATCTGTGATGATATCGATATCAGTCACGGTTGAAAAGGCTTTATCACACCTTTAATCTATATGACGTCACATCATTGATTCCAGTCACTGTTGCAAAGACTTTATCAAACCCCGAATCTGTATGACGTCATGTCAAACCCATAATCTGTATGACGTCATGTCACATAAAAAACATCTACGTGAGGTATATATATACTAAAGTGTATATGATATGGCTTTTTCAATATCACACACCGTATCAACCCTCAACCAATATAATCCCTCGAGCAGAGCTCTTGGGATTATATTGGTGTCTCGGGTTGATACGGATGTGATATTGAAAAAGCCATATAATATTCTCTATATATAACACATTTAAGAAGATATATATTGAAGATGTGCATGGTTAAATATTTACAAACCAGACAGTGCCTAACAAATGCTTATTTTCATCAACTGTACGCCACAAACATTACAAAGGTAATGAACACCAAGTCGCACCCTCTGTATCTGTACTGTGTTATTGTGCACATATTGTTATGTAATTAGATGTTTGCTATAGCATTGTATGTACATCACATATAAGATGGTTGTATCACCAAATGAACAATCCTGAACACAATTGTCCTTAGTTTTGTTGTTATATATGCATTAAATAGAACGATTTTGAAAACTATTGACATACAACAATCACTTTTGCTTTGAGACATCAGACATTTCTTGTGATGTTAAATTTATATGGGAATGTCTTTGATGTCCAGTAATGACAGGCAAATAGCAATAAGGTGTATGCCAATATATTAGAAAAGAAAGGATATGGGGTATCCATCTGTGACACAATCAGTATATGCAGAGCAAAAAATACAAAAAGAAAAGTGATGCCTTCAACACGGAGCAAAAAAAAACTCTCCACACTGCAAGTTTAAGACAACCCCTAGCACCAGTTTGAGCAAAATTCTTTGCAAACTGAGGAATTGAAGAACAAAGCCATGGAGTAATATCAATAAAATAAATCTGGCACCAAAACCAAACATGTATACTGTCATAATTTAACCTGTCAATCACACTGAAGCATGTAAAAAACAATACAAACATTTAGACAACCAAAGGGCATATTGAGATACATGTTAAATTACATGGCAAGAAAAAACCTATGTACATGTATAGGGCAAATAATTTCGAAAGACTATGTAAGATGTAACACCACAACTAAGGCCCGGTCAAATAAGCTATTTTTTCAGTACTTTTCTGGTTTAAAGTGACACTTAATTGAACTCTTGTAAATCCGTTTATACCTCACCTTGCCTAAAAGGCAAGATTAGCTTTTGCCATCAATTTGTGTCTGTCCATCATTTGTCTGCTGTAAAATAATTTCAGGGGAAATTAGGACCTACCTTTTCTTTTTAATTCTAAATGTTTTTCATTATGATGTAAATCAAAATATTGTTATTATTGTATCCAGGGCCTAATCTAGGATTTTGAAGAGGGAGAAGTGACTTCTCCTTCCATGAGAGAGAAGGGAGAAGTGGTCAACTTCTTGGAGAAGTGAGATTCCATAACCGTTTCGGTTGCATCGTGTTTTCAAGCTTATCACTAAGGAAATTGTTTAATATTCAATAAAAGATGTACTTGCAGTTTTTTCATATGTTATTGTACACAATGTATATATAGAAAGTTCTTAATAAAAAGGTTTAGACAATATATAGTTGTTATTTATTTATTGATACCATAATGTGTTCTAAATAAAATTTGTTGATTGGGACATGAGGGAGTAGCCTAGTAATATTATCAAGATTATGATGCATTAAATTTATGTGCATCTGCCTCAATTTATTTTTAAGACTCCAGAAAAATATGATGAATTTCACATGACTGGGAATTTAATTTATATCACCACTTGTCATTGTTTTGTAAAACATTATTAAATGTCCAGGACATTTATGTTAGTTGTAGTAAATTGAGATTATCGTTAAAGATTGTAAGTCTATAAATGAAAATATCTTTCAATCTCAAGTTAATTATCCGATAAAGAGCTAATTTCTATCATTTTTTAAAAATATCATCCATATCAACGAAGTGGTCATGAGAAAAAATCCACTGCTGATCACAATCTGGTTTAGTGTCGTACGTTTGCAATCACATTATCCATCAGCTGTCTTTCTGCCTTTTATATTTCAATTTTTATTTATTGAATATAATAAATCTACCGTTAATTCCCACCCTTTACCTACCGAATAGTAAAATTGATCGACTCGTGTAGGTAATAAAAATAAAACAAATCAGCTGAGTGATTACGCAACATCCTCAGATGAATATCATCGTAAAACGATAACTTAACAGACGGTCAGTTTTCTGTTTGAACAGTTTTGAAAGTTATATCCGAGGATGTTCAAAGTTGCCGTTGTATTTATTTAATTTGATCTTTAACAGTATTAGTCCTGGGTTGTCAGCCGCCATTTTATTTTACCTGTGAGACTTGTCAATCACAAGTTGTCTCCCTTTTACCGATTTTGATAGCGATTTGACTTCGCTATGAAGTCAGTCGGCCGGCGAGATTTAGCGATTTTTAAAATTCTTTGGCGACTTAAATCGTCATTTCGCCGCAAGATTATGGCCTGATTGTATCTTTTTAAGTAATTATCTAGTAAAATACAGGATCTCTAGTACAACTCTGTCCCAATTTCTACTAGTAGATGTTTGAATTCTGATTTGTACTAGATTTAAATTAGTTTAAATCATCATTCTAATTTCTATTAGTAAATATTGGAATGGAGGATTATGGATCCTACTGAATTCCAATTTGTACTGTAACATATACATGAATTATTCAGAGTAACCCAACACATGATGTACATTTGTCTTGTGTTTTGGTTTATTTTAGCTTACTATTTTCACCTGGAAGACAGTTAAATTTATCTTCTATTATCTTGAAGAACAAATTATGAAAACATATAACTAAATTAAAAATTATATGAAACCCCGCTCCCCATAAAAAAGGGGGAAAAAAGGTTCAGATCAGAGTCAAGATAAATCAAACAAAGAAAAAACTAAATGCTTACAATTTATATGAAAGTTACATTTCATGTTGTCATTTCTTTTACTTCTATATTTCAGTCTGTGAAAGAGCAGGCTTATGATTACCATAGTGCAATATATCACTTATTACAAGACAAATATAAAAAACATCCAAAGACAATACAAAAGACAATTGTACCACAAAATCTGCCATTAGCCGTGGTGTCCACAGAAAGACGGTCCAGTATTACTACAGGTATTGGTATGTATCATTAAATCTTAGTACTGTATATTGAATTTTTTTTTAGGGGATGTAAAATTTCACAATTTAAGGGCAACAAAGTATACGCAAAAATTTGGCAGTTTTTATTTTGACATATTCTTTATTCCAAATTGAATATTTTGGCGGATAAGGAAATGGTTGCAGTTAAAAAGTTGTAAAAATTAACAGGAAGAAAACAGCGAAACATAATTTTTCTGTTATTCTATAAAAATACAAAATATTAAAAGAAATAATTATTTGAATAGTAAAAAGAAATGCATATGGATAATGAAAAACAATAGGTGAGGTAAAACACATGTCAAATAATCTACACCAAGAAATGTTTACTACAAATGAGAACTTCGCTTCATGTAACATATCTGCAGAACCGTAGCTCATAGGTTGTTATGATGTTTTTTGACAATTTGCGAACCATAGAGCTACGGATTTTTCATATTTCAAAACGTTCGGAATTGCGACCCAGGTTCAGGTCGCACAATTTTTCCCAAATTTTGATTATTTATCATCCATGGATAGCTTGTCAATGTATACAGTTCGTTTCGTTAGATATTTTTCTATGATATGACATACCTATTTATGTTTGAATATTCATTTCCTTGACACTAATAATTTATTAATTCCTTTTGTATACATCTCCGCCTATTTTGTTCAGCCATTTTGAATCTCGTCGTGACGTCATAAAGACCAAGAACAGATAACTCAAATAGGAAAACATGTGTTGGTTTGTTTACTTATTACTAAACAGGATTCGTGTGTTTTTCAAGCTTTGAAACACTAATTAACACGAAATTTTTAAACTGCTGGGAAGAATTATTATTTTTTTTTGTATTAATGTTTAATAAAATGTTCTTTCATTCAAATAGTTATGAAATAGATTAAAGGACAACATAAACAAACCTGAACCTTGGTCGCAATTACGAAAGTTTTGAAAAACTAAAAATCTGTAGCTCTATTGTCCACAAATTGTCAAAAAAAAATCATAAGGACCTATGAGCTAGGGTTCCGCAGCTACATGTGACAATGCTTTAGTATGATTCATTCAGATCATCGCTCAACAACATCTTTTTATATATTCTTACTTATACTGGTACTTTATAAATTCTATGGCCCCCGCAATAAAGTTGTAGGGGCCATATAGTTTTACCCTTATCCGTCATGCCGTCATTCTTCATTTTGTTATTCTATCATTCTGTCATTCTGCAACGGAAAAGTTAAACCGACTTTTTTTCTAAACGCCTTCACATATTGAGCTGATTTTTAGTATGTGAGTCTACTATGATGAGTAACAGATTAAGTTTAAGTCTCGTTCTGCTCCACTGATTTATGCTGAAATTACGGGCTTTGGACTTTGAAAATTTCGTAAAAATAACAGTTATACTGACTCTCATTCTGAAATTTCCACTCCTAAAAATGGCTTCAAGCATTTTTATACGACCGCAAAAATTAAAATTTTTTTTGAAAATAAAAAATTTTTTGGTCGTATTTTGGTATCACATTGTCGTCATCAGTGTTGTCCAAAGACAGATGGTTTCCGGATAATAACTTTAGTATAAGTGAATAGAAATCAATAAAATTTTAACACAAGGTTTATAACCACAAAAGGAAGGTTGGGATTGATTTTGGGGGTTATGGTCACAAAGGTTTAGGAATTAGGGGCCAGAAAGGGGCCCAAATAAGCATTTTTGCAGTTTCCAGACAATAACTTGTGTTAAAGTGTATGAATCTCTCTGAAATTATACCACAAGTTTCCATACAACAAAGGGATGGTTATGGGGGTTATGGCTCAAACCATTTAGCAATAAGCGGCAAAAAAGGGGGAAAACAAGGGTTTTTATGGTTAAAGGACAATTTAGACAATTTAAAAGCAGTGTAAGGGAGGTAATCCAATCCATTTAAAGAATACTGTTGTATATATGTTTGATTACCTCCCTTACACTGCTTGTAAATTATGTATTAAGAAATGATGATTGTCTTGAGATGATTAGCTGTAAATTTATTTTTAGGAGTTACTATTAATTAATATTAATTTTAACTATGACTGTATGTCATTTTATATTTTAATATTTTATGATGTATTGAAATGAGTAGTTATGGTTGCAAACTTTATTAGAAATTTGAATTGAGATTATTTTTGGAATAAGGGAAAGGGGGAGTTGAAAAAATTCGCAACAGCATAGAGTATTGCACAAAAGCAAAAAATTGAATATAAATTCAAATAATATAACCAATTTTAAGTTCTTTGACTACAGTTATTCTGTGTCAGAAACCTATTATGTGTCAAATATTTAATTACAATCCAAATTCAGACCTGTATCAAGCTCGAATATTGTGTCCATTTTTGCCCCAACTGTTCAGGGTTGGACCTCTGTGGTCGTATCCAGCTGCGCTCAGCAAAGCATTTTATTTGCGAATGGGGCCATTCATGTCATTCTGATACATCTAGTTTGTCTCATATTTCTGAGGAGTTTTCTGAAAATTTGGTAACAAGTATGTGATCATGCTATACAGTGTGATGTGTTTTCACATCCATTGTTTATCAACTTCTGTTTACTGAATACTTACAGATGGGGAATTTGTGCGACATAAGCCACAATTCAACTTGTAAAATGTTCTATCATTCTTCATAAAGCTTTACATGATTATACATCTATCAATTATGTTTGACAGAGAAAACCAGTTATTGAAGTATTTTTGTATATCAATGAACAATATGACTACTACATAATGCTTTATATTATTACCTGATTAAATGATTGAATGTAGGTAAATATGATATTATTATTTTAGTGATACCAGAGTTTCAAGCTACTGATGTAAAAGATACCAAGCCTGCTACAATTCCCTCCATTCCAGCACAACTGCGGTTTTATGCACCTGCAGAAGATAGTAGTGTTAGTGAGGTATGAATGCAATTTTTTACAAATTTTCCTGTTTTTGCCAATTATCCAGAAAATTTTAATAGATAGGTTGAAACTGTTAATGGCAAAAATGATCAGCAATAAAAAACCAACCAAAATTTCAAAATGACCAACCATTGGGCAACTAATTATTAGGGAGTTATGGTTCTTAAATGACAATTTTTGACAATTATCTCAATAAATATAACAGATGGATAAAAACTGTAAGCAGCAATTTAAGATCTACAAGAAAGCCATTGAAAGAAAGACTCCCATATAAATTTGTAATTATACTGTAACAAATACAAAGTTGAATTATTAGAATGTATAACTTTTTAAGAACCTTTCCTAAAAGAGTTCATTATGATTGAAATTTGCCATACACAGTTCTAATTTCAGTTGTTGGTTCTGAAACAAAAATTTTAGCATCTCAAAATTGAAAAGCCCTGAAAGTTAATATAATTTTCATTTTTTTAAAAATGCTTATTCTGAAAAATAATAAGTGAGTCAACACAGTATTATATTGACTATTGTATTGATAAGGTAAAGCAGATGTTGATATCCATGGTTTGCCTAAACTGAAGCTGTTTGTATCACAATTCTGATTATTTAACAGAAATTTTTTAATGTATTTATCATTGCTAAAATATGTGAAGGGATTGGTATTGCATAATTTAGAACTCACGCCTGAAATTCTGATAAAATAAAATAAGATAAAATGAACACTTTATCATCCAGCATATCATCACCGGAAATCTGACTCTCATCGATCAAAATTATTATTTCTATGAGAAGTCGTACAGTTTATAGTTTTTCTTAAGAAAAAAATGGGTAAAATCCTGTCTGAAGTTGTATATATAGTTCATAGTGTTTGCTTATATTGGATGTATTCTCTAGATTAAATCAACAATGCCCGTATCCATGTAGTCAAACCTACATGGGGATCTTTCCATCTATGTCTTGATTTCGACAACAGTTGTAATATTGCGTTGGACACTTAAATTCGTAGATAAAGCCATCCACAAAAACCATGAAAATTGGTACCCCACGAATAAAAGTACTTTCACAATAATTAATATAAGAATATGAAGATGTGGTATGATTGCCAATGAAACAACTTTCCATCGGAGACCAGTTAACAACTATAGGTCACAGCACGACCTTCAACAATGAGCAAAAGCCTTACCTCATACCAAGCTATAAATTGCCCCGAAATGATAAATGTAAAACAATTGAAACCAGAAAACTAACGGCCTGATTCATGTAACAATTCAAAACAATAAACAAAAAAACAATTATGATATACACCAACAAACAACAACCACTGAATTACTTGCTCTTGATTTGGGGAGGCACATACAAAATGTGGCAGGGTTAAACACTTTCTTGTCTGTTGATCAACAATTGAAATTAATGAATAATTCAATGATCTGGTAATTAACTATTAAGCGTAATTTACTTGTATATAATTTTAGTCTGAAGACAGTAACAGTCAGAATTCTGATTCTGAGGCAGAGGAGCCATCACCAGAAGCATTAGCAAGATATCTAGCAATGAGACGACATACTGTAGGTGTAGGTGATTCCCGACATGAAGTTCCAGAGAATGAACGATTAAAACTTGCCAATCATCAGCCCATTATTGCAATGCCACAACCCAATCTACTCATGCCATTTAGTTTCTTGCCACATATCAATTTGCCGCAGACCAATTTACCATATGTACAGAATGAAGCCATGCAAAGTTATCCAGGCATAGGGGAACAACATTTGTTACAACCACCTGCATTCACAGGTTAGTGTTTGTTTAGATATACATCGATCAAGTTTATTCTGAAAGGTATTATTGCACTGAAAATTGTATGCTGTTAAATACTATTCTTCATGGGTATCAATTTTCATGGTTTGAGAATTTATTTTTAATTCATAAGGTTTTAAATTGTAACGGACTTGAAGAAACGTTTAGTGTTAGTGTTAAATAGAAGCAACAAATTCACTTTTTTGTCAGCATTGCAGGGGGCATAGAAATACTATGAGGTCCGTCTGTCTGTCTGTCCTTCCATCCAGCCTTGTTAGCGCTCTCATGGGTATAATTCTTGCCAGATTTTTTCATGAAACTTATATCATAGGTTCTCCGACAAGTTCGAAAATCATTACTGATCAACAATTTTTCATTGTAAGCGCTCTCGTGTGTACAATTCTTGCCAGATTTTTATGAAACTAATATCATAGGTTTATATCAGCTATGTCTTACACAAGTTCAAAAATCAGTGCCGACCAAATATTTTTTAAAGAGTTATGCCCCTTGGAAATATTAATTATATGGAAAGTTGCATTGTTAGAGCTCTCATGTGTACAATTCTTGTCAGAATTTGATGAAACTCATATCAAAGGTTCATATCAGTAATGTCTCTGACATGTTCGAAAAATCAGTGCTGATCAATTATTTTTTAAGAGTTATGTCCTTGGAAATATTAATTACCGGTATATGGAAAATTTCATTGTAAGCGCTCTTGCTGTTCAATTTTTGCCAGATTTTTATCAAGCTTCTATCAAAGGTTTATATCAGCAATGTCTTGGACAGTTTCGAAAATCTGTGCCGATCAAATATTTTAAAAGAGTTATGCCCTTTTGAAATAATATCAAAAATTACATTGTAAGAGCTCTCAAGTCTTCATTTCTCTCTTAAAGATATTTATAAAAATTTTAAAGCACAAAAAAAAGGGTTTTTTTTAGTTATTGCCCTTGGACAGATAAAATATTTAATATAAAAGAATTCTTTTTATAAATTATTGAATATATAAATTACTTAAACAGTTTGCACCTGCTCTTTGATTTCACTGTATTTCCATCCTTTACTTTTCTTCAGACAAAAGAGAGTGCCCTTATTTCTTTTCAAATTGTTTAATCATTTTAATCATCTACCTAATCGATAATAAAGATAAAATGCCTCTTAACAAATTTCTTCTTTTTTGATAGCATTACCTTTATGATGAATAAAATCAGAAATGTAATCGTTGTTCATTCGAATTATGCGTTTTAGACAGCTAAAGGTCCTTCAAATATTAAAAATTAATGGAAAAAATATCATTTGGAAACCATATCTATTGTAAAATTGATACTTGAAAATTTGTTATCTCTATCAAATAGCAACTTGGTTCTTGTTGTTTAGATGAAGGTTAATCCTAAAATGAAGATAAGTACAAAATGTATATATTATTAAATGTTCCATTTTGTTTAATTTCAGGACTTGGTGGTCGGAGGGCTTCAGATGGTGGTGCTAACATACATTTATTCAATCGTCAAATGTATGGTAACAGTTTACCAGGAAGTCCTGGAAGTCAAGAAACACTTGCTACAGTAACTACTTTTACTTTCTTTTCTTTTTAGCTCACCTGGCCCGAAGGGCCAAGTGAGCTTTTCTCATCCGTCGTCGTTAGCTTTTTACAAAAATCTTCTCCTCTGAAACCACAGGGCCAAATTAAACCAAACTTGGCCACAATCATCATTAGGGTATCTAGTTTTAAAAATGTGTCCGATGACCCCGCCAACCAACCAAGATGGCCGCCATGGCTAAAAATAGAACATACAGGTAAAATGTAGATTTTGGCTTATATCTCTGAAACCAAAGCATTTAGAGTAAATCTGACATCGGGTAAAACTAATTATCAGGTCAAGATCTATCTGCCCTGAAATTTTCAGACAAATCTGACAACCTGTTGTTGGGTTGCTGCCCCTGAATTGGTAATTTTAAGGAAATTTTGCAGTTTTAGGTTATCTTGAATATTATTATAGATAGAGATAAACTGTAAACAGCAATAATATTCAGCAAAGTAAGATCTACAAATAAGTTGTCATGACCAAAATTGTCAGTCGACCCCTTTAGGAGTTATTGCCCTTAATAGTCAATTTTTAACAATTTTTCGTAAATTTTTATACGACCGCAAAAATTGAAAATTTTTTGGTCGTATATTGGTATGACGTTGGCGTCGTCGTCGTCGGCGTCGTCCGAAGACACATTGGTTTTCGCACTCTAACTTTAGTTTAAGTGAATGGATCTCCATGAAATTTTACCATAAGGTTCAATACCACGAAAGGAAGGTTGGGATTGATTTTGGGGGTTATGGTACCAACAGTTAAGGAATAAGGGGCCAAAAATAAGCATTTTTGTAACTTCCAGACAATAACTTGTGTGTAAGTGTATGGATCTCTCTGACATTGTACCACAAGGTTCCATATCACAAAGGGAAGGCTGTAATTGATTTTGGGGGTAATTGCCTCAAATTTTAGGAATTAGGGGCCAAAAAAGGGGCAAAAAACAAGCATTTTTCTAGTTTCATGACAATAACTTGTGTGTAAGTGTTTGGATATTTCTGAAATTGTACTACAAGGTTCCATATCACAAAGGGAAAGCTGGAATTGAGTTTGGGGGTAATTGCCCGAAACGTTTAGGAATTGGGGGCCAAAAAGGGGCAAAAAATAAGCATTTTTCTAGTTTCCAGACAATAACTTGTGTTCAAGTGTATGGATCTCTCTGAAATTGTACTGCAAGGTACCATACCACAAAGGGAAGGCTGGGATTGAGTTTGGGGGTGATGAATCATAAGGGGGTTCAAAAAATTTGGGGGGGGGATTTTTTTTTTTCTTTTTTTTTCTTTTTTTCCTTTTTTTTTCTTTTAAAATTTTCCATTTTAAGTTTGTTATTTCTGATTATTATTTAAAAGCAAATAATAATGATATGGTAGGAGATACACACCAAACAGGATGTGTAAATTATTATATAATAAGTATTGTGCAATAGCAAGAAATTTTCAATTGCACAGTATTGCACAATTGCAAGAAATCTTCAATTGCACAGTATTGCGCAATAGCAAGAAATCTTCAATTGCACAGTATTGCGCAATAGCAAGAAATATCCAATAGCACAATATTGTGCAATAGCAAGAAATTGTCAATTGTACAGTATTGCACAATAGCAAGAAATATTCAATTGCACAGTATTGTGCAAAAGAAGATACTTCGTATAAATTGCTTATTTCTTGATCAATTTCAATGGGGTTTTATTCTTGAATTCTTGGGGTTCTTTAATATGCTGAATCTAACCGTGTATTAAGTTTTTGGATTTTGGGCCCAGTTTTTAAATTGGTCCACATTGAGGTCCAAAGGGTCCAAAATTTAACTTTGTTTGATTTCATCAAAAATTGAATTATTGGGGTTCTTTGATATGCCGAATCTAACCGTGTATTTAGATTCTTAATTTTTGGTTCCGTTTTCAAATTGGTCTACATTAAGATCAAAAGGGTCCAAAATTAAACTTAGTTTGATTTTAACAAAAATTGAATTTTTAGGGTTCTTTGATATGCTGAATCTAAACATGTATTTAGATTTTTGATTATGGGCCCAGTTTTCAAGTTGGTCCAAATCGGGGTCCAAAATTAAACTTTGTTTGATTTCAACAAAAATTGAATATATGGGGTTCTTTGATATGCTGAATCTAACCATGTATTTAGATTTTTGATTTTTGGGCCCCGTTATCAACTTTGTCCACATTGAGGTCAAAAGGGTCCAAAATTAAACTTTGTTTGATTTCATCAAAAATTGAATTCTTGGGGTTCTTTGATATGCTGAATCTAACCATGTATTTAGATTTTTTATTTGTGGACCCGCTATCAAATTGGTTCATATTGAGGTCAAAAGGGTCCAAAATAAAACTTTGTTTGATTTCATCAAAAATTGCATTATTGGGGTTCTTTGATATGCCAAATCTAACCGTGTATATAGATTTTTAATTTTGGGTCCCGTTTTTAAATTGGTCTACATTAAGGTCCAAAGGGTCCAAAATTAAACTTAGTTTGATTTTAACAAAAATTGAATTCTTGGGGTTCTTTGATATGCTGAATCTAAACATGTGTTTAGATTTTTATACGACCGCAAAAAAATTTTTGTGGTCGTATATTGGTATGACGTTGGCGTCGTCGTCGTCGTCGTCGTCGTCGTCGTTGTCGTCGTCGTCGTCCGAATACACATTGGTTTTCGCACTCTAACTTTAGTTTAAGTGAATGGATCTTTTTGAAATTTTACCATAAGGTTAAATACCACAAAAGGAAGGTTGGGATTGATTTTGGGGGTTATGGTACCAACAGTTAAGGAATTAGGGGCCAAAAAGGGGCCAAAAATAAGCATTTTCTAGTTTCCAGACAATAACTGTGGAGCAGTGTATGGATCTCTCTGAAATTATACTACAAGTTTCCATACCACAAAGGGATGGTTAGGATTTGCTTTGGGAGGTTATGGCTCAAACCGTTTAGGAATTAGGGGCAAAAAAGGGGGAAAAACAAGGTTGTCCTGGTTAATGGACAAATACTTTAGTACAAAACATAATTTAAAGCAGTGTAAGGGAGATAAATCAAATACATCATTGAAATTATCTCCCTTACACTGCTTTTAAATTATGTATAAAGTAATGGTTAATGAACAATAAAGATAATTTAAAACAGTGTAAGGGAGGTAATCAAAATACAACGTTTTGGTTACTTCCCTTACACTGCTTTTAAATTATGTTTAAAGAAATGCATATTTATAAAGGAAGACCAGTAAAAATATCTGCAAATGTTGCATCATTTTATTTTACAAAAAAATCTATATGAAAGATTTGACACTATATTTTTAATTCTATTATAAAATAGATTAAGTTAGCACTATGGTAAAATTAAATGGGTAATTATGGTTGCCAACTCCATTGGAAATTTGAATTGAGATTATGACCATATCTTGAGGGAAAGAATTTTTTTGGGGAAAAAAGGGGGGGGGATAAAAAGAAATTGTGGGGGGTCATTTTTTTCTCATTTCAGATTTCAGAAATTAAAAAGAATTATTCTTCAAATATTATTTTTTTTTCAAATTTCAAATATTGAAAAATTTCAAGAAGTAATCTTTAATTGCACAGTATGGCCCATTAGATTTGTAAAATCTTTGATCACATTTATTTATTTGTTATGCCGAATCTAACAGTGTATTTAGATTTTTAATTTTGGGTCCAGTTTTCAAAATAGTCTACATTAAGGTCCAAAGGGTCCAAAATTAAACTTTGTTTGATTTTAGCAAAAATTGAATATATGAGGTTCTTTGATATGCTGAATCTAAATATGTATTTAGATTTTTGATTTTTGGCCCAGTTTTCAAGTTGGTCCAAATTGGGGTCCAAAATTAAACTTTGTTTGATTTCAACAAAAATTGAATATATGGGGTTCTTTGATATGCTGAATCTAACCATGTATTTAGATTTTTTATTTGTGGACCCCGTTATCAAATTGGTTCATATTGAGGTCAAAAGGGTCCAAAATTAAACTTTGTTTGATTTCATCTAAAATTGAATTATTGGGGCTCTTTGATATTCCAAATCTAACCGTGTATTTAGATTTTTAATTTTGGGTCCTGTTTTTTAAATTGGTCTACATTAAGGTCCAAAGGGTCCAAAATTAAACTTAGTTTGATTTTAACAAAAATTGAATTCTTGGGGTTCTTTGATATGCTGAATCTAAACATGTGTTTAGATTTTTGATTATGGGCCCAGTTTTCAAGTTGGTCCAAGATAGGGTCCAGTATTTAAACTTTGTTTGATTTCAACAAAAATTGAATATATGGGGTTCTTTGATATGCTGAATCTAAACATGTATTTAGATTTTTGATTATGGGCCCAGTTTTCAAGTTGGTCCAAATTGGGGTCAAAAATTAAACTTTGTTTGATTTCAACAAAAATTGAATATATGAGGTTCTTTGATATGCTGAATCTAACCATGTATTTAGATTTTTTATACGACCGCAAAAATTAAAAATTTTTTGGTCGTATATTGGTATGACGTTGGCGTCGTCGTCGTCGTCGTCGTCGTCGTTGTCGTCGTCGTCGTCGTCGTCGTCGTCCGAAGACACATTGGTTTTCGCACTCTAACTTTAGTTTAAGTGAATGGATCTCCATGAAATTTCACCATAAGGTTCAATACCACAAAAGGAAGGTTGGGATTGATTTTGGGGGTTATGGTACCAAAGGTTAAGGAATTAGGGGCCAAAAAGGGGCCAAAAATAAGCATTTTTGTAACTTTCAGACAATAACTTGTGTGTAAGTGTATGGATCTCTCTGACATTGTACCACAAGGTTCCATATCACAAAGGGAAGGCTGTAATTGATTTTGGGGGTAATTGCCTCAAAATTTTAGGAATTAGGGGCCAAAAAAGGGGCAGAAAACAAGCATTTTTCTAGTTTCATGACAATAACTTGTGTGTAAGTGTTTGGATATTTCTGAAATTGTACTACAAGGTTCCATATCACAAAGGGAAAGCTGGAATTGAGTTTGGGGGTAATTGCCCGAAACGTTTAGGAATTGGGGGCCAAAAAGGGGCCAAAAATAAGCATTTTTCTAGTTTACAGACAATAACTTGTGTTCAAGTGTATGGATCTCTCTGAAATTGTACTGCAAGGTACCATACCACAAAGGGAAGGCTGGGATTGAGTTTGGGGGTGATGAATCATAAGGGGGTTCAAAAAATTTTGGGGGGGGGATTTTTTTTTTTTTTTTTTTCTTTTTTTCCTTTTTTTTTTCTTTTAAAATTTTCCATTTTAAGTTGGTTATTTCTGATTTATATTTAAAAGCAAATAATAATGATATGGTAGGAGATACACACCAAACAGGATGTGTAAATTATTATATAATAAGTATTGTGAAATAGCAAGAAATTTTCAATTGCACAGTATTGCACAATAGCAAGAAATCTTCAATTGCACAGTATTGCGCAATAGCAAGAAATCTTCAATTTAACAGTATTGCGCAATAGCAAGAAATATCCAATAGCACAATATTGCGCAATAGCAAGAAATTGTCAATTGTACAGTATTGCGCAATAGCAAGAAATATTCAATTGCACAGTATTGTGCAAAAGAAGATACTTCGTATAAATTGCTTATTTCTTGATCAATTTCAATGGGGTTTTATTCTTGAATTCTTGGGGTTCTTTAATATGCTGAATCTAACCGTGTATTAAGTTTTTGGATTTTGGGCCCCGTTTTTAAATTGGTCCACATTGAGGTCCAAAGGGTCCAAAATTAAACTTTGTTTGATTTCATCAAAAATTGAATTATTGGGGTTCTTTGATATGCCGAATCTAACCGTGTATTTAGATTTTTAATTTTGGGTCCCGTTTTTTAAATTTGTCTACATTAAGGTCTAAAGGGTCCAAAATTAAACTTAGTTTGATTTTAACAAAAATTGAATTCTTAGGGTTCTTTGATATGCTGAATCTAAACATGTGTTTAGATTTTTGATTATGGGCCCAGTTTTCAAGTTGGTCCAAGTTGGGGTCCAAAATTAAACTTTGTTTGATTTCAACAAAAATTGAATATATGGGGTTCTTTGATATGCTGAATCTAAACATGTATTTAGATTTTAGATTTTTGGCCCAGTTTTCAAGTTGGTCCAAATTGGGGTCCAAAATTAAACTTTGTTTGATTTCAACAAAAATTGAATATATGGGGTTCTTTGATATGCTGAATCTTACCATGTATTTAGATTTTTTATTTGTGGGCCCGCTATCAAATTGGTTCATATTGAGGTCAAAAGGGTCCAAAATTAAACTTTGTTTGATTTCATCAAAAATTGAATTATTGGGGTTCTTTGATATGCCAAATCTAACCGTGTATTTAGATTTTTAATTTTGGGTCCTGTTTTTTAAATTGCTCTACATTAAGGTCCAAAGGGTCCAAAATTAAACTTAGTTTGATTTTAACAAAAATTGAATTTTTGGGGTTCTTTGATATGCTGAATCTAAACATGTGTTTAGATTTTTGATTATGGGACCAGTTTTCAAGTTGGTCCAAGTTGGGGTCCAAAATTAAACTTTGTTTGATTTCAACAAAAATTGAATATATGGGGTTCTTTGATATGCTGAATCTAAACATGTATTTAGATTTTAGATTTTTGGCCCAGTTTTCAAGATGGTCCAAATTGGGGTCCAAAATTAAACTTTGTTTGATTTCAACAAAAATTGAATATATGGGGTTCTTTGATATGCTGAATCTTACCATGTATTTAGATTTTTTATTTGTGGGCCCGCTATCAGATTGGTTCATATTGAGGTCAAAAGGGTCCAAAATTAAACTTTGTTTGATTTCATCAAAAATTGAATTATTGGGGTTCTTTGATATGCCAAATCTAACTGTGTTTTTAGATTTTTAATTTAGGGTCCCGTTTTTTAAATTTGTCTACATTAAGGTCCAAAGGGTCCAAAATTAAACTTAGTTTGATTTTAACAAAAATTGAATTCTTCGGGTACTTTGATATGCTGAATCTAACACATGTTTAGATTTTTGATTATGGGACCAGTTTTCAAGTTTGTCCAAGTTGGGGTCCAAAATTAAACTTTGTTTGATTTCAACAAAAATTGAATATATGGGGTTCTTTGATATGCTGAATCTAACCATGTATTTTGATTTTGGACATTGGACCATAATAGGTAAATTAAAAAAATTGAAGTTCTAAGACCACATTCTTTCTGTGTCAGAAACCTATGCTGTGTCAAATATTTAATCACAATCCAAATTCAGAGCTGTATCAAGCTTGAATGTTGTGTCCATACTTGCCCCAACTGTTCAGGGTTCGACCTCTGCGGTCGTATCAAGCTGCGCCCAGCGAAGCATTTTATTATTTGTAGGCCCCGCTATCAAATTTGTTCATATTGAGGTCAAAAGGGTCCAAAATTAAACTTTGTTTGATTTCATCAAAAATTGAATTATTGGGGTTCTTTGATATGCCAAATCTAACCGTGTTTTTAGATGTTTAATTTGGGTCCAGTTTTTTAAGTTGGTCTTCATTGAGGTCCAAAGGGTCCAAAATTAAACTTAGTTTGATTTTAACAAAAATTGAATTCTTGGGGTTCTTTGATATGCTGAATCTAAACATGTGTTTAGATTTTTGATTATGGGCCCAGTTTTCAAGTTCGTCCAAGTTGGGGTCCAAAATTAAACTTTTTTTGATTTCAACAAAAATTGAATATATGGGGTTCTTTGATATGCTGAATCTAACCATGAATTTAGATTTTTTATTTGTGGGCCCCGCTATCTAATTGGTTCATATTGAGGTCAAAAGGGTCCAAAATTAAACTTTGTTTGATTTCATCAAAAATTGAATTATTGGGGTTCTTTGATATTCCAAATCTAACCGTGTATTTAGATTTTTAATTTTAAGTCCTGTTTTTTAAATTGGTCTACATTAAGGTCTAAAGGGTCCAAAATTAAACTTAGTTTGATTTTAGCAAAAATTGATTTCTTGGGGTTCTTTGATATGCTGAATCTAAGCATATGTTTAGATTTTTGATTATGGGCCCAGTTTTCAAGTTTGTCCAAGTTGGGGTCCAAAATTAAACTTTGTTTGATTTTAACAAAAATTGAATATATGGGGTTCTTTGATATGCTGAATCTAACCATGTATTTTGATTTTGGACATTGGACCATAATAGGTAAATTAAAAAAATTCAAGTTCTTAGACCACATTCTTTCTGTGTCAGAAACCTATGCTGTGTCAAATATTTAATCACAATCCAAATTCAGAGCTGTATCAAGCTTGAATGTTGTGTCCATACTTGCCCCAACTGTTCAGGGTTCGACCTCTGCGGTCGTATCAAGCTGCGCCCCAGCGAAGCATTTTATTGATTATGGGCCCAGTTTTCAAGTTGGTCCAAGTTGGGGTCCAAAATTAAACTTTGTTTGATTTCAACAAAAATTGAATATATGGGGTTCTTTGATATGCTGAATCTAAACATGTATTTAGATTTTAGATTTTTGGCCCAGTTTTCAAGTTGGTCCAAATTGGGGTCCAAAATTAAACTTTGTTTGATTTCAACAAAAATTGAATATATGGGGTTCTTTGATATGCTGAATCTTACCATGTATTTAGATTTTTTATTTGTGGGCCCGCTATCAAATTGGTTCATATTGAGGTCAAAAGGGTCCAAAATTAAACTTTGTTTGATTTCATCAAAAATTGAATTATTGGGGTTATTTGATATGCCAAATCTAACCGTGTTTTTAGATTTTTAATTTTGGGTCCCATTTTTAAATTGGTCTACATTAAGGTCGAAAGGGTCCAAAATTAAACTTAGTTTGATTTTAACAAAAATTGAATTCTTCGGGTATTTTGATATGCTGAATCTAAACATGTGTTTAGATTTTTGATTATGGGACCAGTTTTCAAGTTTGTCCAAGTTGGGGTCCAAAATTAAACTTTGTTTGATTTCAACAAAAATTGAATATATGGGGTTCTTTGATATGCTGAATCTAACCATGTATTTTGATTTTGGACATTGGACCATAATAGGTAAATTAAAAAAATTTGAAGTTCTTAGACCTCATTCTTTCTGTGTCAGAAACCTATGCTGTGTCAAATATTTAATCACAATCCAAATTCAGAGCTGTATCAAGCTTGAATGTTGTGTCCATACTTGCCCCAACTGTTCAGGGTTCGACCTCTGCGGTCGTATCAAGCTGCGCCCAGCGAAGCATTTTATTGTAATCATTTTACAAAAATCTTCTTCTCTGAAACTACTGAGACAAATTTAACCATACTTGGCCATAATCATTATTAGGGTATCTAGTTTAAAAAATTTGTCCGATGACCCCGCCTTCCAACCATCATGGCCGACTTGGTTAAAATTAGAACATAGGGGTAAAATGCAGTTTTTGGTTTATATCTCTGAAACTAAAGCATTTAGAGCAAATCTGACATGTTGCAAAAATGTTCATCAGATTTAGATTTATCTGCCCTGAAATTTTAAGACGAATCTGACAACCCGTTGTTGGGTTGCTGCCCCTGAGTAAGTAATTTTACAAAAATTTTGCAGTTTTTTGTTATTATCTTAGATATCATTATAATATCTAATATCTAATACTATTAATTATGATTTTAACCTTATTTTACATGATTTCCAAAGCATCAGTAAATACAGGTGAGCGACACAGGCTCTTGAGAGCCTCTAGTTTATGTCCCCGCCGTAGCGGTGGGGGCATTAAGTTTTACCCTTGTCTGTCTTTACGTCCCAAAATTGGTTTCCGTTTTCTTACTTGAGTTTGCCTCAACCAAATGTTATGAAACGTATACACAATGCTTATTACCACAAAACACAGATCAAGTTTGAATTTTGGTGGCGCCACTTTAACCGTTCTAGAGTTATGCCCCTTTATAAATGGAAAAATTGCAAAATTTTTATTTTCTTCTAAATATCAAGTAATTTTTATACGACCGCAAAAATTTTTGCGGTCGTATATTGGTATGACGTTGGCGTCGTCGTCGTCGTCCGAAGACACATTGGTTTTCGCACTCCAACTTTAGTTTAAGTGAATGGATCTCTTTGAAATTTTACCATAAGGTTCAATACCACAAAAGGAAGGTTGGGATTGATTTTGGGGGTTATGGTACCAACAGTTAAGGAATTAGGGGCCAAAAAGGGGCCAAAAATAAGCATTTTTGTAACTTCCAGACATAACTTGTGTGTTAGTGTATGGATCTCTCTGACATTGTACCAAAAGGTTCCTTATCACAAAGGGAATGCTGGGATTGATTTTGGGGGTAATTGCCTCAAAATATTAGGAATTAGGGGCCAAAAAAGGGGCAAAAAACAAGCATTTTTCTAATTTCATGACAATAACTTGTGTGTAAGTGTATGGATCTTTCTGAAATTGTACTACAAGGTTCAATATCACACAGGGAATGCTGGGATTGATTTTGAGGGTAATTGCCTCGAAATTTTAGGAATTAGGGGCCAAAAAAGGGGCAAAAAACAAGCATTTTTCTAGTTTCATGACAATAACTTGTGTTAATGTTTGGATATTTCTGAAATTGTACTACAAGGTTCCATATCACAAAGGGAAAACTGGAATTGAGTTTGGGGGTAATTGATCTATACGTTTAGGAATTGGGGGCCAAAAAGGGGCCAAAAAACACATTTTTCTAGTTTCCAGACAATAACTTGTGTTCAAGTGTATGGATCTCTCTGAAATTGTACTGCAAGGTACCATACCACAAAGGGAAGGCTGGGATTGAGTTTGGGGGTGATGAATCATAAGGGGGTTCAAAAAATTGGGGGGGGGGGGATTTTTTTTTTTTTTCCATTTTTTTTCTTTTTTCCTTTTTTTTCTTTTAAAATTTTCCATTTTAAGTTGGTAATTTCTGATTTATATTTAAAAGCAAATAATAATGATATGGTAGGAGATACACACCAAACAGGATGTGTAAATTATTATATAATAAGTATTGTGCAATAGCAAGAAATTTTCAATTGCACAGTATTGCACAATAGCAAGAAATCTTCAATTGCACAGTATTGCGCAATAGCAAGAATCCAATAGCACAATATTGGGCAATAGCAAGAAATTGTCAATTGTGCAGTATTGCGCAATAGCAAGAAATATTCAATTGCACAGTATTGTGCATAAGAAGATACTTCGTATAAATTGCTTATTTCTTGACCAATTTCAATGGGGTTTTATTCTTGAATTCTTGGGGTTCTTTAATATGCTGAATCTAACCGTGTATTAAGTTTTTGGATTTTGGGCCCCGTTTTTAAATTGGTCCACATTGAGGTCCAAAGGGTCCAAAATTAAACTTTGTTTGATTTCATCAAAAATTGAATTATTGAGGTTCTTTGATATGCTGAATCTAACTGTGTATTTAGATTCTTAATTTTTGGTTCCGTTTTCAAATTGGTCTACATTAAGGTCCAAAGGGTCCAAAATTAAACTAAGTTTGATTTTTAACTAAAATTGAATTCTTAGGGTTCTTTGATATGCTGAATCTAAACATGTATTTAGATTTTTGATTATGGGCCCAGTTTTCAAGTTGGTCCAAATCGGGGTCCAAAATTAAACTTTGTTTGATTTCAACAAAAATTGAATATATGGGGTTCTTTGATATGCTGAATCTAACCATGTATTTAGATTTTTGATTTTTGGGCCCGTTATCAACTTTGTCCACATTGAGGTCAAAAGGCAGGCCTCAACAATAACGCTTGTCCGATTGTCCGGTACAAGAGGAAAAAAAGGTTGGACAAGTAAAAGCTATATCAAGCTTGTCCGACGGGACAAGTAAAATTATTCTGCAGAAAATAAATTTAATCCAACTTTGATGAACAAAGTAATTATAAACAAAAAACAAGAAAAGAAGATAAAAACAAGTATTAATTTGACATGTTTACTTGCAATCGATACTTTAAAACTGGTTCTTTGCCAGGTACTGTTTAAGAGGTAAAAGGCATACTTTTCTCGGAAACCTTTTTTTCTGATCCGAATCAGCGATGCGCTTTGTAGACAAGGTAACTTTTCAAGACAGTTCGTCACCAGCTCGGAAACGATTTGGCTCCAAATTTAATAGACAGTTGGGCACCGTAGGAGACATATTTAATAGACATGATTAATAGACAGTTTGGCAACGCAGGAGACATTTCATTTCGGGACCAAGACAAATCAGTACCTCTTTTTCCGACCTTATTCTGTTGCTTTATAATAAATATCATACCTGTAATTTTTTTTAACAAAAAATATTTTTTAAATAAAAATGAAGAAATTATTTACCATAAAATTCACAAAATCATATTTGATCATATTTAGAAAAAAACAATACTTGCAATACGGTGACCTATAGTTGTTAATTTCTGTGTCATTTGGTCTCTTACAGAGAGTTGTCTCATTGGCAATCATACCTCATCTTCTTTTTTTTATTGATTGCCATTGAAAAAACTTTTTTCAACTTAAAAACCAAGATATAAATCCAATGAGTGTACATTGACAGGCCTATCAGACGGTGCCTCATGTGCAGAGTCTGATGAGACTTTGGCATTGAAGAAAGCTAGAACCTAAGTCCTGTGACATGACCAGATTCAGTTGTTATCGACTCATATTTTTGAAAAGTATTTCAAAAGATATAAATCAAATTCTGTTCTATTGTTTTAATTCATTTTGTTCCTTGAATCAACTTAAAATGCAAAAACGGTTATCAATAAGATTGTTTTTGGACAAGTTACAATTTCATTCGGACAAGTAAGTTTTGGTATGTACTTGTCCTACTGGACAAGTTGAAAAAAAAGTTATTGTAGAGGCCTGAAAGGGTCCAAAATTAAACTTTGTTTGATGTCATCAAAAATTGAATTCTTGGGGTTCTTTGATATGCTGAATCTAACCATGTATTTAGATTTTGGATATTGGACCTTAATAGGTGAATGTCCAATTTAAAATTTTTAAGTTCTTAGACCACATTCATTCTGTGTCAGAAACCTATGCTGTGTCAAATATTTAATAACAATCCAAATTCAGAGCTGTATCAAGCTTGAATGTTGTTTCCATACTTGCCCCAACTGTTCAGGGTTCGACCTCTGCGGTCGTATCAAGCTGCGCCCTGCGGAGCATTTTATTAAAATTGGAGTTATCTTCCTTTGTCCATGATTATAGTTGAATCAACTACAATCAATGCTTTATACAATGCAATGTTTAATTTTGCCTTCCACTGATAAAACACAGATCAAGTTGAATTTGGGTAGTGTCACTTTAACCATTATTGAGTTATGCCCCTTTATAAATGGAAAGATTGCAAAATTTTTAGTTTCCATTCTGTAACTTAAGTTTGCCCCAACGAAACATTATGAAACCTATACACAATATTCATTACCACAAAACTAAGATTAAGTACAAATTTTTTGTTTCCTTTTTAGCTCACCTGGCCTGAAGGGCCAAGTGAGCTTTCTCATCACTTGGCCTCCGTCGTCCGTTGTCGTTTTCGTTGTCGTCGTCCGTCGTCGTTAGCTTTTTAAAAAAAACTTCTCCTCTGAAACCACTGGGCCAAATTAAACCAAACTTGGCCACAATCATCATTAGGGTATCTAGTTTTAAAAAATGTGTCTGATGACCCCGCCAACCAACCAAGATGGCCGCCATGGCTAAAAATAGAACATACGGGTAAAATGTAGATTTTGGCTTATATCTCTGAAACCAAAGCATTTAGAGTAAAGCTGACATCGGGTAAAACTAATTATCAGGTCAAGATCTATCTGCCCTGAAATTTTCAGACAAATCTGACAATCTGTTGTTGGGTTGCTGTCCCTGAATTGGTAATTTTAAGGAAATTTTGCAGTTTTAGGTTATTATCTTGAATATTATTATAGATAGAGATAAACTGTAAACAGCAATAATGTTCAGCAAAGTAAGATCTACAAATAAGTTGTCATGACCAAAATTGTCAGTCAACCCCTTTAGGAGTTATTGCCCTTAATAGTCAATTTTTAACAATTTTTCGTAAATTTTTGTTATCTTTTACAAAAATCTTCTTCTCTGAAACTACTGAGACAAATTTAACCATACTTGGCCATAATCATTATTAGGGTATCTAGTTTCAAAATTCGTCCGATGACCCCGCCTTCCAACCATCAGGGCCAACTTGGTTAAAAATAGAACATAGGGGTAAAATGCAGTTTTTGGTTTATATCTCTGAAACTAAAGCATTTAGAGCAAATCTGACATGTGGCAGAAATGTTCATCAGATTTAGATTTATCTGCCCTGAAATTTTCAGACAAATCCGACAACCCGTTGTTGGGTTGCTGCCCCTGAGTAAGTAATTTTACAAAAATTTTGCAGTTTTTATACGACCGCAAAAATTAAAATTTTTTTGGTCGTATATTGGTATGACGTTGGCGTCATCGTCATCGTCGGCGTCGTCCGAAGACACATTGGTTTTTGCACTCTAACTTTAGTTTAAGTGAATGGATCTCCATGAAATTTTACCATGAGGTTCAATACCACGAAAGGAAGGTTGGGATTGATTTTGGGGGTTATGGTACCAACAGTTAAGGAATTAGGGGCCAAAAATAAGCATTTTTGTAACTTCCAGACAATAACTTGTGTGTAAGTGTATGGATCTCTCTGACATTGTACCACAAGGTTCCATATCACAAAGGGAAGGCTGTAATTGATTTTGGGGGTAATTGCCTCAAAATTTTAGGAATTAGGGGCCAAAAAAGGGGCAAAAAACAAGCATTTTTCTAGTTTCATGACAATAACTTGTGTGTAAGTGTTTGGATATTTCTGAAATTGTACTACAAGGTTCCATATCACAAAGGGAAAGCTGGAATTGAGTTTGGGGGTAATTGCCCAAAGGTTTAGGAATTGGGGGCCAAAAAGGGGCCAAAAATAAGCATTTTTCTAGTTTCCAGACAATAACTTGTGTTCAAGTGTATGGATCTCTCTGAAATTGTACTGCAAGGTACCATACCACAAAGGGAAGGCTGGGATTGAGTTTGGGGGTGATGAATCATAAGGGGGTTCAAAAAATTTGGGGGGGGGGATTTTTTTTTAATTTTTTTTCCTTTTTTTTTTCTTTTAAAATTTTCCATTTTAAGTTGGTTATTTCTGATTAATATTTAAAAGTAAATAATAATGATATGGTAGGAGATACACACCAAACAGGATGTGTAAATTATTATATAATAAGTATTGTCCAATAGCAAGAAATTTTCAATTGCACAGTATTGCACAATAGCAAGAAATCTTCAATTGCACAGTATTGCGCAATAGCAAGAAATCTTCAATTGCACAGTATTGCGCAATAGCAAGAAATATCCAATAGCACAATATTGCGCAATAGCAAGAAATTGTCAATTGTACAGTATTGCGCAATAGCAAGAAATATTCAATTGCACAGTATTGTGCAAAAGAAGATACTTCGTATAAATTGATTATTTCTTGATCAATTTCAATGGGGTTTTATTCTTGAATTCTTGGGGTTCTTTTATATGCTGAATCTCATCGTGTATTTAGTTTTTGGATTTTGGGCCCCGTTTTTAAATTGGTCCACATTGAGGTCCAAAGGGTCCAAAATTTAACTTTGTTTGATTTCATCAAAAATTGAATTATCGGGGTTCTTTGATATGCCGAATCTAATCGTGTATTTAGATTCTTAATTTTTGGAATCCGTTTTCAAATTGGTCTACATTAAGGTCCAAAGGGTCCAAAATTAAACTTAGTTTGATTTTAACAAAAATTGAATTTATAGGGTTCTTTGATATGCTGAATCTAAACATGTATTTAGATTTTTGATTATGGGCCCAGTTTTCAAGTTGGTCCAAATCGGGGTCCAAAATTAAACTTTGTTTGATTTCAACAAAAATTGAATATATGGGGTTCTTTGATATGCTGAATCTAACCATTATTTAGATTTTTGATTTTTGGGCCCCGTTATCAACTTTGTCCACATTGAGGTCAAAAGGGTCCAAAATTAAACTTTGTTTGATTTCATCAAAAATTGAATTCTTGGGGTTCTTTGATATGCTGAATCTAACCATGTATTTAGATTTTGGATATTGGACCATAATAGGTGAATGTCCAATTTAAAATTTTTAAGTTCTTAGACCACATTCATTCTGTGTCAGAAACCTATGCTGTGTCAAATATTTAATCACAATCCAAATTCAGAGCTGTATCAAGCTTTAATGTTGTGTCCATACTTGCCCCAACTGTTCAGGGTTCGACCTCTGCGGTCGTATCAAGCTGCGCCCTGCAGAGCATTTTATTTGTTATTATCTTAGATATCATTACAATATCTAATATCTATTACTATTAATTATGATTTTAACCTTATTTTACATGATTTCCAAAGCATCAGTAAATACAGGTGAGCGATACAGGCTCTTGAGAGCCTCTAGTTCTAACTTTAGTTTGCCTCAACCAAATGTTATGAAACTTATACACAATGCTTATTACTGCATAATACAGATTAAGTATGAAATTTGGTGGCGACACTTTTACCATTCTTGAGTTATGTCCCTTTATAAACATAAAAACATAAAAATTGCTGAATTTTTCGTTTCTGTTCTCTAACCAAATGTTATAAAACTTATACACAACCGTTCTGGAGTTATGCTTGTTTACAAATAGAAAAATTGCTGAATTTTTAGTTTCTGTTCTCTACTCAAGTTAGCCTCAACCAAATGTGGCGACAAATGTTACACACAATGCTCATTACCACAAAACTCAGATCAAGTTCAAATTTGGGTAGCGTCACTTTTACCGTTCTTCAGTTATGTCCCTTTATAACTATATGATATGCAACCGGGGGCATCATCTGTGTCCACATGTGGACACTATCCACATTTATTTATCCATTGTTTGATTTAATATCCAGTTTGATATTCATGAATACTCTGATTGGCATTATTACTTATATGTATGTAATGAATTCTGAAATTAAATTTAGAAATAAATAGAAATGAACAATTCATTAATACTGTAAATTCAGAAATTATTGCGAGGTTTATGTTATTAATGTGAATAATGTGAATGTGTGAGTATCACAATATTAAGAACTCTCATTCTGATATCTGATACATATAGCTACATGAAGATTTTCCTGAAATCACATTTTTTTGTATTCTTTAAAAATTGCATAAATAAATGCATGCAATAATTTCAGAATTTTCAGTATTCATTACAAAATGGATTTTTGATTATAAAAAATTATATAAAAATTCAAATTCTATAGCATTTCAATAATTTTATGATATTGTGGGTTGATTTCCTACCCTAATGAAGTAACTTATACTATATGATTATAAACATGTATTGGTTTTACAGTCTCCACTGTCACCTTCTGGTTTACATCTACCTACACCTCCTCTACATGGCTCAATAACAGTAGAAGAGGAAGAAGGTTCTGATCAGGAACCAGATCCTGAAGCAGTTCAAAGGTATGTTAGATGGATGTCAAGGAAAATCAGTTGTAGATATATTATCTTTAATCTATAGTAAAAATTTATTTTGTTTGGGTGCAATAAGACACTTATAAGGTAGTTTTGATGCATATACAAATTCATTCTATTCTTCTATGGGGTGTCCCTAATTGAGTCATCTTTATCCCCACCCAGAATGATATTTGAGAATATATAGATATGGGGTATGTGCCAATGATACACCCAGCAATACACTACAACCAGAAAGACGGGAGGTGCAATCAATTAATGTAGCATTTTCACTATCTAGTGGTAAAAAAGGAACAGGGGAAAACAATAAATATTATACAATGCATATCCTACATACAACAATGAAAATAAATATTTCCTAATACACTGTGTCTGTTGAGAAAGCTTTGAAATTGGATGGCACAAGAATTAATATGGTAACAGTATCTTTTCCTAAGAATATTTCTATTGGTTTTTTTATGAAATTGTAATGAGGAATGGTAGTTTGTGAGAAAAAAAAATGTACATATTTTTTCATTCTTTGAAATAAAACAGTGAACTGATGTCATATGTTTCCATTCCTTTTTGTAGGTATCTGCAAAATAGAGGTCACCGTCAAAGACATACTCTTGCAATGTCTAACCCTATGAGTGAAATACCTGAGGAATTACAAAGAAAATTATCTCTACAGCAACCTCTACGTTCTGGTCGACGAGGTAGTCACTTCCAAGAGAGACAAGCTGTTGTTGGTATGTATGATCAGACTGGTGAGTGAAAGCTGGAATAAAAAAAAAAAACAAACCTTCATTGGAAATGAAGTTATATTGGGTGCAAGTATTCTATTAAAAAATATATGGTACCCACAGAAGACACTTTGAAAATATAGAAACCACTCTTAAAAGCAATTTTGGAGACCTGCATACATTTGCCATTGTCAAATCAAATCAAGTTGCCCTGTGTCTTGTGTATGTTTTTATAGAGCAGTGCTTTTATTTTTGTTCTTCATAGTGATAGTTTATGCAAGATCTTGGTTCAAGATTTTTAGAAAGATTATAAATAGAAAAGCGTGATGAGACGGGATCTTGGGCAATGTTAGGTGCAGAAATAAAGGGTTTTTCAGAAAGATTCAGTTATATTATGCCTCACATTTAAAAACTAGAGATTGAACAACAAGGTGTCATCAGATTTTCTAGTTCAAAGTATTTGTGAACATCGATCGTCGTGATAACAAATTATTAATAACACTGTTTCTGAACTGACATTTTAAATTATATTCACATACAACATGGATTATATAATATTGCAGAGAATCAAACAAAAAATTCAAGCATAAGTAACGAACATGTTCCAATTATTATGATATTTCTTGCAGTGGTCAGGAATGGCAGGGCTCCTTGTAAGTAAAAGTGCTAATTAATATGAGTGCTTAAACAAACTAATATGCACATAAGTTGGTTTAATATCCATGATGGTGCAGTGTTGCTATTTTGACTGAATTTTATTTGTCCTGCCTACTCCTCCTACAGTTTTCATGCTAGAACCTTCATTAATCAGGGTGTTAGTACATATACTAAAGGTGTGCATATTGTCAGAATTTTGATTTTCTTTAAATTTTCCACAAATGACATGTTGTTGAACATTGTCATCTTTTGGTATTATAATGTGTGCAGGGTACATGGTTTGTCCAGCTTACTCCTACAGTTTTCAAGCTAGAACTTTTATACTGATGAGGGTGTTAGTACATATACTGAAGGTGTGCATTTTGTCATTATTTTGATTTTGGTTAAAGTTAAATTGAAAACTAATGACAGAATGTTTGATCTTCTTTCATTGTCTTTGGCAGGGGGATGAAATGTGTCTTTCAGACACAACTAAATTGTACTTCAACATCACTAAATCTAATGTTTGTGGCACATTATTCATGCATGCTGTAGTGGCATCATCTTTGTCTATTGACAAAATTGATTCAATGTAACCAGTTGATTAAGGATGTTCGCTTGTCATGTTTTTGAATTTATGTAAGATTTTCGGAATCCTCTGCTTGTATCCATTTTGAATGTCTTAAAAAATTTTGCCAACTAACCCCCATTTTTCTTTTTATAAATCTTTAACATGTATAATTATAAGTCATCTGTAAAAGTCTTATAAAATCTTTGTTATTTTTTAATAGTTTTTGAGAACTTTAACTTGGCAATGATAAAGCTATGAAAAATCAAGAGAGAACATTTTCCCGTCAAAATTTCAATGGCTTATATCTTGAAAACAAGCACACAGACATATATTTTTTTTTTTTCGCTCTTTTGGTTCCTTTATTAATCCTCTATCAATATATACTAGTGTTATGCAAAGCTTGTTATTTTGAAACTGAGTAGCAAACTTCCTTAAATCAAACTTTTATAGAACTTCAGTTGACAGAATGGATTTAATTTTAACCTATCAATTAAATCAAACTTTTAGGGAACTTCAATTTAATAACAGGATTGATTCAATTCAACCTAATTTATTCAAGCTTTTAGGGAACTTCAATTGAGACAATTGTATCATTTGTACTACAGAGATCAATTCAATCCATTTGTACTTCAGGGATCAGTTCAATCCATTGAATCAAAGGAGTCAATTGAACATGAAAAATATGAGACATAAAAGAATTAACTTTTTTGACATCTAGACATCAATTTAGTCAATTGTTAGAATATAACGACCGGGATGAATTGAATAGATTGAATTTTAAAAAACCAATTGACATCCAGATTTCAGTTGAGACATTTGTATACTGTCAATTCAGAAATTATTGCGAGGTTTTAATCAATGCAAATAATTCAACTTGATGATTATCGCAATAATAAGAACTCGCATTCCAATATCTGATACATATATCTGTATGCAAATTTTCCTGAAATCACAATAATTAATCTCGCATTTTGGTCTATTCTTCAAAAGATGCAATAATAAATGCCCACAATAATTTCTGAATTTACAGTAATTTGTACTGTGCTGGCCAATTCAATCTATGAGTAATATCATTAATGTCATTTGACTAGTTTGAATTCTTTCATAGTATTATTTCAATTGACATAATTTGACTCAATTGATTTATTCTTTCTTTGTTAGGATTGGAAGACAGAATAGTTATAATCTACTGAATTGAAATATAACAATTCAGCAATACTGCACCACAATCTGAATATCACAGAAAAGAAATTAAATAAAACACAGGAAATGAATAAAATCTTCATAATCAAAACATTATGTACATCTGTTTATATTTCTTTCAGTGCAAAAAATACTTTTGAGAAATTCTTCAACAAAGCACATCTTATAGCACTAAAGGAAAGCACATAGGTATAGCACTAAAGTGAGGTGGAATCATTTAATGAGGATATGCACAATCAATTCTAAGTATTCTTGGTCAAATCTATAACATTTCATGTAGATTAGAAAGAAAGAGCATTGAAAGTTATAAAAACAGTGTAACTATTAATGACATATGATAGACAAATCAAATCTTCCTTTTAAAACATCAGAATTACAAAATATTTTCAAATTTATTGCAGCTCCTAGTACATTAAGAGAACCAATAAACTCATTGCATTTACCAAACGAGAGATTTTCTCCAGTACGTCGAGCAAGTGATGGTCTGCAGAATCTCAGCAAGTTTCAGTCACTTCATTTAGAAAAGATCTACAATCAGACGTTACAGTCTTCATCGAGAAATAACAGTTCAACTAGTCTTAAACAGTTACAGCATGAATGCCAAGAATTACAAGTATATTATCTTACAACTATTTGTTAAAATATTTGCAATGCACAGATCTTAATATATTTTTGATCTGTCCTTATAAACAGTAAAATATTAAAATTGTCATATTAAGTTACAGGTAGAAATATGACAGGCTGTTGCCTCATATATCTTACCAGTTTGGTATTTTGAGATTGGTGTGAAAAAGAAAAAAAATGTTGATTCATTGTAGCAAATTATTTTCACCATCATAAAACGTACATATGTAACTAAAACAATTGTGCAAGCTATTATCTCCCTTGAAATTGGTTGATATGTCTTGAATAATGTAATACTGCCTTTAAGGAAACAAAGTGTTTTTCCCCACATATGTACAAATGTATATGGCAGATCTTTGATAGTCAGCAATTTATACCCAAATTTTCTAGATGTTTTTATGCCCCATTTATGGGCATTATGTTTTTCGGTCTGTGCGTCCTTTCTTTTGTTCATCCGTCTGTTCGTTCGTCCATCCGTCTGTCCCGCTTCAGGTTAAAGTTTTTGATGAAGTTGAAGTCCAATCAACTTGAAACTTAGTACACATGTTCCCTATGATATGATCTTTCTAATTTAATGCCAAATTAGAGTTTTGACCCCAATTTCACGGTCCACTGAACATAGAAAATGATAGTGCGAGTGGGGCATCCATGTACTATGGACACATTCTTGTTTTGATATATTCTTTGGGTAACTACTGTATAAACATACCCCACATCTCCTTATATTAGTAAACAGATGACAAACATAGTGTATTGAATTTAGCTCCAAAATTTTCTCTTTGGTTATCGTAAAAAAAATTCTGAAGACTTGTTTACCTCTTTGATTGTATATTTTCAGAATACTGTAGGGAATCGTGATCCAATGAAAGAATCAGAACTTCAGCAACAGCACTCATTACACAGATTTCATCAATCATTACAGGTGTGTACATAGGTGTTAATCATAGCTTCACAGTGTTATCTTTTGTGTCATCTTTAGAAACATGATATATATATTTTTGTCATGGTGGTCATGCAAAAGGGGTTATGCCAAGGTAACACCAGGCAATTAAAGAAAAGATTCTTTGCTATATTATGCATAAAAAGATTAACATGTTTTGATTTTTGCTACCAAGTTTACCAAAGTTTTTTGATTTTTTTTAAACATGAAACAGTAAAAATCATATATGTCTATTCCATAGGAACAGGTAAAAAATCAACAGAAAACAGATCAGTAAATTTCCTACCTAACTTCCTAATCTTGAACATGAAACCCTAAATAGTCATTTGTTTAAGCTAACCTGGCCTGTTGTATGGCATTTGCGTAGACTTTTAAAAATCTCCTCTGAAACCACTAAACCAGTTGGGACCAAGCTTGTTCTGCATCCTTCTTATCGGCCTTCTTTATCAGTATGCCTGCTTTTAAAACAATATGGCTACTATTGCTAAAAATAAGCACATAGTGTGAATAGAAGATTATAAGAATCCTTTTATGGACAAATTGTCATTAAACATTGATTAAAGGATATATTAATGATTCCCATTAAGAACAATGGTTTATCCCAAATGCACTTAGATATGACAGTCACCTTTTAATCAAAAGTTGGATTTGACAGATTCAATGGAAATATTTTAGAAAATAGTAAAAACACTAATTGCTAGAAAACTAAGGTTAAATGATACATTCCTGATCATAGAAAATTGATACCTAATGGACATGACAAACAGATATTTTTTAGGATAACTTGCTATTTTTGGAATATCTATAAAAAAAAAACACTTGAATAAATGGCTTGTCCACAATCACAAAAAATATGTCAATGTGTATAGACATGTTAAACCAAAATGAAAAAAATTATCCTAGGCATAGACTGACAAGTTAATTTCAGAATAATTCCTCATTTAGTCCAATCTATTTTTGTCAACTTACCTTAAAATTAACTGGTCAACAATAGAAAAAATAATCCGGTTCTGCTTAGATTAGTTTGTGGAAATAGGGTAAAAATGAGAAGAGGGACTATAGTGATAGATGTTAGTGTTCATTATGGTAATAGTTTGTTTTTATATACCAAAGAGTGTAGCAATTATATAGTTAAAAACAAATTTGTTATGATTATTACCATCTTTGAACTGGAATATGCAGGATGAGTTAACTTTGAGTAAAAAATTTCTCCTTTTTTGAAGTCTGAACAGTTCAACTTTTTTCAGCTCATGTTAGCTATTGCCATCATTACTTCCTCTTTACTCTTACTAGCCTTGTGGAAGTAATGTTTTTTTGAGACAAGCCTAAAAGCATATGAATCTTTAAATGATCATATTTAGTTTCAGGAAACAGTTTATATAGACAATGTTGCATCATGCATTTTATAGTTATGTTCTAATATTATTTTCTGTGAATCATAATTTCATAATTTGTATGCATTTATTATTTTGAGTTTTTGTGTGCATTATTATCTTTTGTTTTAAGGATTATGAATCAATCAACAAAAGGTCTTATCCTAAGTATTTGTGACACAGGTTTGTGTTTCATCGTCTCCCAACTTTTTATATTGCATTCTGGAATATGTTATTCTTTTACTGGACTCCAGTATCTTTACTTTAAATGTATATAATCATTAAAAAAAAACTTTCTAATCTTTGTATTGTTTAGAAATAGTAAATTTGCTTTCCTGTCGATCTAATTTCCTTGGAGACTGATTTAAAAATTTGTCTTTTCAACAAACCGTAGTAACATTTCTTATCTTAAAATCTTGCATAAAAATTCATTCTAAGCATCTATGACTGGAAGATAATACTGTATGTCCCTGAAAAGTAGCGTTTCTTAAAAATTTTACCAACAACAGATTGCAATTTAAGATTTTAAAGTAATTTTTAAATTTAACATTTATACATTTGAAGAATATAATTGTCTCTCAAATACTTTTCAGAACAAACAATTTTAGTTCTTAGCATGTAGATTGAGTTGTTTTCTAGGAAACAAATGTCAGCTTGAATGTAGATGGCTCACCACACAGGTGCCAGCTGTTACTTCCTTTTTAATAATACATAAAATGTCTAAACTGAATGTCAGCAGCATATTAAATGTTTACTTTTCATGGGGTTAAAGTTTTTTTTTAAGACATCATTAACTTTGTCAAACGCCAGAATCCTCCAACAATAAAAATGGTCTGCCATGATATAGCCAAGCGTGCTGAATTTGGATTTAAACACCAACAATCAATCAATCAATCCAAGCAAGGAGTATCTTAAAAATTGGACATCATATATACTACTATAACAATGTAATTAAATTAATTACTGCCTTATATAGCTGAAGTAAACTGTTTCCAGGGTGATACTTCTGTACTGGTATCATGGTCTTATAAGCACACACACGTGTGATATGGTATAAAATATCTCAAGCTATGTAGGTTTCAGATTAAAGAAAACTGAAATACAAGTAGACAACCAGTTAAATGCATAAAATTTGATAGCCAGAAGGCTTAGAAAAATATCTTTTGAAATATAACTATCAATTTGTTGAGGTAGCATAATACCATTTTGCATACCATTAAATGACTTTAACCCAAAAAAAGATTCCAGAATGCAATATAATAAAACTATGCTTCAGGCATGTTCATTGAAAAGGCATGTTGTAAATATTTCACTGCATTTATGTATGGGAAACCAGGTATTTTATAAGATATTGTAAGAAAGAATATTTCTGTGGTGATATGGGGCATGCCAGTTGGTTAAAAAAAAATTGTCGTCAATTTGTATGATTATGGTAATGGAGTTCTGCATGGGTGAAGGTTTCTTAAAAATTATTTTATTGGGGTTAAATATTTTAATTAGAATTCTTTGTTATGCATTATTTCTCACTTTTACAAGTTCAGTTACTAAAATGTCCTTCACTACACAATTTCTTTCATAATTATCTACAGTTTTAATTGTTCTCCTTATTAAATGGTGTTTTTATTATAATTAGTAATAAAGGTTATTTTGAATGAGTTTATTTGTGTGTTGACTTTGCTGAATGACATACTTAAGAAAGTAAGTTCAACGACAAGTTTACGCATCAATAAACTCTGTAAAATAACCTTCATTACTTTCAATTACAATAGAATGCAATCAAAATTATATTCAGATTAAAAATTTCATCAACACTTACAGAAACATTTCACTTTCTGTACGTTTTGATATTCATACTTGTGACATCATAAAACATGTGTTTACATGTAAAAACTCTTTGGTTGACAGTACACATAAAAATGATATGAGATGTAATAATATTGGAATTATAGTTCACTGCCTGGATTTATACAGATAGAAAACAACATGAAAGTCATTATTCATTTACACCATTGTTCATACATATCGTTCACTAGAATCAAAATATTGTATGGAATTTTTAGTAGGGTGCCCAGTGTCGAAAAAAGGCCTCTAGTTAACAAGTTTAAGTTAACGGAATAACACACCGCTAAATTTAGTTGCAATTTATAGGAAAATCATTATATTTTACAATCATGAATGTCGTCCTAACTTACTGTGGTCACGATTTTCTATATTTTTTGTTTTTACAGGGTATCCCAAGATACCGTATTGTAGGGGAATCTTAAACATGATAAATGATATTATTGCGCTCATTGTTGGAGGTTGAAATAGAACTTAGAATATAGTTTATATATTAGATATATCGTATAACGAAAGCGAAATTTTTTAAGTAAGTGTAGTATAAGTATTTCAGCATTTTGATAGGTCAATTTACCACATTTTCATCAAAAGCTAAATTATTACATGTATCATCACAAGCTTTTTTATTTAATACAATAACACACAGTTCACATGTATGCTAAATTTTGTGTGTGTAATATAAGTCGTTGTGGAGAAATTAACAATTAAAAACTCAAATTAAGTTTACATTTTTGTAATATAAGTCGTCGTGGAGAAATTAGCAATTAAAAACTCAAATTAAGTTAACATTTTTGTATTGATTCAACACTGATTATTGTTAATCATTTTGGTGCTAATATTATTAGGTCTTTAACATGGACAGTTGTCAATCAATTGTTGTATGGTTGATTTTTATGTTATGCCCGCGCCGTAGCGGAGGGGGCATTAAGTTTTACCCTTGTCCGTCTGTACGTCCCAAAATTGGTTTCCGTTCTCTAACTTAATTTTGCCTCAACCAAATGTTATGAAACTTATACACAATGCTTATAACCACAAAACACAGATCAAGTTTGAATTTTAGTGGCGTCACTTTTGCCGTTCTAGAGTTACGCCCTCTACAAATGGAAAAATTGCTGAAATTTTCGTTTCCATTCTCTTACTTTAGTTTGCCTCAACCAAATGTTATGAAATGTATACACAATGCTTATTACCACAAAACTCAGATCAAGTACAAATTTGGGTAGCGTCACTTTTACAGTTATTGAGTTATATCCCTTTATAAGGTTATATGCAAGCTTGGGCATCATCTGTGTCCCATGGACACATTCCCCATTTATTTTGTTTTAAATGGCCAATTAAGCTTGTTCTCATCTTTCCAATGATATAAAATACAGCCGTGTGTTATTCCATTAACCCAAATCGTTCAAATTCGTTGACTGGGCACCCTACTATTTGTTTTATGAAGATGAAATTACAATACATATTCTTTATGTTGTTAAAAGTTTTCATAAATATGTTTTTCTCATGGTAAAATTTAAAGTCTCTTTCTGCATCATTTTCTTCCTTTCTTGACCTGTGTTAACACGCCTTTTAAGTCATTTATCATTATTAAGCCTGCTGATTAGTCTACTTTGCCCTATTGTACCATAAGTCAAGATGACCTCAACAGCTTTAAAAACAGTGTAGGAAGGTCCCTTTTAATTTTTGTGAAATCTCAAGAAAAAAATGTGGTAAACAACTTTGTTTTGTGTAAAAATCACAAATTTTGACAAGCATCTTAATGTGCTAAGA